CCTCTTCAAGCCAGGCAGAGTTACTGGTTATGTGTGACATGGGATCTCTTCCTGAGTTGTTTTTCCCTCCTGTTCCTCCTCAAATTCTTTGGTACTGCGTTCAGGGGTGTTTGTACATAACTTTGTGGCCAATGTATAACTGCATTCCAAGATCTTTCATTCTAACAAACTGTATCCAGCACTCCAGCTTGTTTTTTTTTTAATGAGAAAGAGATGTGCAGCTTGATGAACTGGTCCACCTCAAGCCTTCGTGGAAGTCAGTGGGATTTTGTTCTTGCATTGAGGGACAGCAGAGCAGAATCTCCATCCTGTAACTGTTAGTTCAGCAGTGTGGCAGTGCCTGGTTCACAGCTGGGGAGAGAAGGGATAGACACCCTTATTAAACTCTCCTCCGATCAAAGGTACTTCAGTCATTGGTGAAGTGCCTATGAAAACTCCTACCACTTCATCTGGTGCTATCTGTCCCCCTGGCATTTTGTACTATGCATCTTTCTCTGACAAAGGCCTTCAGGTAGAAGTTAGAGGTGTGCAACCACTGTGACTATAGAGAACTAAGTGAGACCTAACTGTGTGGCACAGCAGCAGCAGCCCTGTCTATTAAAGAGCCTTCCTAAGTGGTATGTTCAGTGATTCAAAGGACAAAGGGGCAGCAGCCTGGGTTTCATCTACCAGACTGGAGTTCAGAAAACATTCATCTGCCCTTAAGGCAGAGTAGTTTGGATCTGGATGTCACAAGCGTCCCCTGACTGCAGAGCAGGCTGTGGAGCAGGCCTAAGAAGGGATAAGCCCTGCAACGTTCCAGGTGTTGAGAAAGGTGTTCTTCTAGCTCTTAAACATTTTAAGTTCTAGTAATAGACCTTGAGAGCAGTGTAACCCTTAACTGTTGAGTTAGTGAGCACTGTAGCTGCACATAAACTTTTCCAGCAGAATTCCAGTCACCTTCAGCAGTGGTTGATGTTTCCTCTCAGTTTCCTTAATTGAGTCATTTTCGCTTCTTGGAGGAGTGTCTTGTCACTGCTGTCTTCTTCCTCACTGTTAAAACACAGTTTGTACAGGTGGGAACTGTTCATTTTGAAACAGATGCAGAACACCAAATGGCCTGAGTTTGTTATTCAGCAGTTTCAGGAGAGAAGGAATAGAGGAGGAGTGTCTTCAGGAGACATCGAGTCCCATTTGTCTTTCTTACAAAGAGGGTAGCCCTGCCATCTTAGGTTAAAGTCTCTAACCAGGAATTTCAGGTCATCCTATGCTGTCTGTGTAATCAACAAAGAAATGCAGCAGGCAGCTCAGCTCACCTATGGTTTGAACTGACCTCTGGGAGAGTCTTTCTTTATCAGTGGAGGAGTATGGATTTGAACTGGTTTTTCCCTGGTATTAGCCATGTTTTAAAGCAGTGTAGCTCAGCTGGGCCAAGGCTCCATAGGCACCAACCTCAGCACCAGTTCCTGTGGGTTAACATCTGTGCTTGAGGGGAGCCTGGAGTAAAGCAGATACTCCTTGTAGGAGGGGTCACGACTGGCCAGGCAAGCACAGAGCCTGGCCTGCCCCTCTCTGGCTGGGCACCCAGAACTGACCAGTGCTCCTGTGCACCCCACCCCCAAACAGCAGCAAGCACTTGGGATGTGTGTTTGGACAGAGGTGTAGCTATTAAGTGCTTGATTTCAGCCACTGTTTTCATTTTACTTGGCACACGGAACATGTACGTTGGTGGGGACTGAATAGAGATGTGGAAAGCTGGGATGATAGCCCACAGTTTCATGTCCTGTGGCTATGAAAGACCACTGTCATTTCACAGATTTTTTTGAAGTTAGAAAATTTAGATTTCAATCAAGATTTACTTTTTCTGTCACTGCTCCTACTGCAGCACCTTTCCCCAGTGTCTGGAGAGTAAACTGGCTCGGTGGAACTAAGAACCACTCCAGATATTTTGGCATTGATGGGCTAATCTGGCATACTGTGGTAAAGTGCGTTCTCACTGTTTGCCACTGTCACCAACCAGTGTTTGTTTCTCTTCTTAAACCCAAACTCAGAAAAGAATTGAAGCACATACTTAATTCCTTCCCACTCCACCAAGGATATAATTTCAGGATGTGCTCCAGCAGTCGTTAGATAAACATCCTTTTGTACTTGTCTCTTGGTTTGTGTGTACATGGTTGGCTCCATTATATTTGAAAGATGGCCCAAGTCTGAAGCCAAGTAAAAATAATTTGAGGTAGAAGCAAAGACAATTCCGTGTTACTAGCTGCAAACCTTGTAACCCTCCAGTGTGCTGTGCAGTACCACTTGATATCTGGCAAGTGACATGCTAATAATTGCCTGTCAATCAATGAATCCTTTAGGGTAAAATGTGAGAAATTTCTGTACCTTGTAAATAAGATTGGTGTTCTCCCTTCTGCTTCTGTTTATGTTCTGCAGTATGTAGTTGATGAGTAGAGCCTGTATGAATATACTCTGCTGTGGCAGGAGGTCAGATAAAACACTGAGAAGAGAGCGTTCAGTTAATACAGGTTATTTGTTCCTCACCTCCATGAAAAGAGAAGGTCACTTTGCAGCATTGCCATGACCCATCAGCACGACACACGAAGATCTTTCATTTTCGTTTCTTCATGACTTGCTGACTTTCTCAGATCTGAATGAGTTTGTTTCCCACCTTTGCTAGAATAACATCCAATGTGTCGATCTTTGTGGCTGTGCTGATTGTCGTTAGGCCCTAAAATGTGCTAGCATAGTAGCATTTTGAGGCCCTTTTGTAACATAGGAACTTTCTTATACCTAGGTTTAATTTTCACTTGTTCAGTGAAACTTGGTAGTTGGGGTCTGCTAAAGCTCTTGCTTGCAGGTGGTGGAGGTGGCTGGATTTGGTCATGGCTCATGTCCATGTTATACCAAAAAGGGGGATGTGGCATTTCAGCTTGCTGCAGAATAACTTTGGGAATGTCAGTGATGTATTGATGTACAAGTGTTTAACCAGTGGGATGTAAACTCAATACTGTGAGCCACCAGGCACAATTTTTTGTGATACTTTCCATAATACTTTTCCCAACTCTTGTCTTCCAGGTGTAGGTTAGGAAGTGTTTTTAATTCCTTGTCCATTTGATATTTTATAGTTTGAAATACTTGAGATGAACTGATAAAAATTCCAGTACATCAGAATTTAGATCTAGGGTTATAAATAGGTAGGTAGATATGTCAATATATCTATCTATCCATCACAGATAGGTGCTATTTAACTCCTAGACTATAATGCCTGTGAACTTCTCACAGAGATGCAAATCATTTACTTGCTGTCATATGACAGGCTTAGTGCCAGAATTTCTGTTTCCACTTTTGAGGTTATATCACTTTTCTTATGTCTTTTGTAATGTAGAGTTAAGTACTTTTAACCTTACAACCTTGCTATTAATCTGTTTCTATTCTCAATGATGAATTCCATTTCTTTTGAAAACACTGTATACAGTTGTGTGCTAGTGTCAATAAAATTGACATTTGTGTAACAAGCTGTGGCATTTTCTCAAATTTCACTGAACATTGATTTAGTGTGAAACTGTTGGTAAATCCTTTCTTACTAGCTGTAATAATACAGACCATTATTTCAGACAAATACTGCTTTGACTTTGATTTATAATAGGCTACATAACTGTCATGATTACGTAAACTGATAACTGTATTGTTTTTCCCCTTCTCTTTTCCAAGGGATGACATATAAACACGAACTGATTTGGAACTGGAAAACATTAATGTTATAGCAATAAATCTTGAATTCTTCCAGAAAATAAATAGGTTTTACTACTAGCCTAATTATATTTATTGGTGCCTCTGTTTACTGGAGTAGCTCAGCTGTGTTGTAGCAACAGGAACACTTAACTATCATAATCTAGGGATGACTTAAACACATGATAGTAAAATGTATTTGACCTAAATTATATACAGCAATGTATACGTTTTACATTTAATCCTAGACAGCCTATTAACTGTGTGAATCAAGAGCTTGTCACATTTTTTGGTTGGATTTTAATGTACGATGCCAAAACGGTACAGACTGTAAATGTTCTTCCACATGACAGATTCATCTTCTCAAAATCTCAGGTTTAGATTTTCAGAGGTTTGGAGGAGGGGCTATCTGGGAGAACACTGGGCATTTTCTGGCAAACTCTTTCCTTTGTGCAGTCAGTATGGCTGCCTCCCAGAAGACAAAATGCTAATTTCAGTAACATTTAATGTAGTGTATATGAATCCATGGAAGTGTAATTAATTGTCTAATTCTTTAATATTTTTAATCCAAAATTAAATGGGAGTTTATATCTGTGATAATCTAAATTTGTCATGCTTTGTGCATTAAAAGTATTGCTTTTCTTATGTAAATGTAATGCTAGCATTTCCATCCCAAACAATCAGAGGAGCATGGGAAGACCTACAAGGTATAATATACATACTTGTGTTGTGTGTAGAAATTGGGAAACTAGTGGTTTTCTCCCTTCATGTTAGATCTGACTGGTCTTAGCAGCAACACTGCTGTAGAAAGTGATCGTTTCTCTAGAGTTGCACTAGAGGAATTTGTTCTAACTTGTGTCCTGTAGCTCCTTAGGAAGTACTGATCTGAGTCTTTGACGTTCTACTCTGCTAGAAAGAATGGCACTCCTAGGATGACTCCCTTGTTATATTCATTCTCTTTTAGAGACTGGATTGCAAAGGTGAAAAATGTGGTATTAATTGGATATTTAGCAGTAAATATTGCAGCTCAGTCATGTATGCCTTGATCCCTTCCCTGTGAAGACAGTAATTTCAGCCAGCTTCATCAGCTAAAATAACACTCCAGTCCCTTGGTTAATGCAAGTGGATGCAGCTCCCCTAGCTTCAAGTCCTTTTGGACTAGTTTGAGGACCCTGGTGGCTGTGTCTTGTAGTATGATGTCATATGCTGCAACTTCAGGTTATAACTTTCTGGTACTTTATAGAGAGAACCTATCCTAACTGGTTTCCCTTTTACCCTTTTTTTAGCAGGTTCTCTGACTGGCAGCCCTCACCTTTCAGAGCTTTCCGTCAATTCCCAAGGAGGACCATCGGTGGTAAATATGTCTTTATCTCCAAACTTGAGCCCCGATGCCAAGCAGTCATCTCCCTTGATCAGCCCTTTGCTGAATGACCCATCGTGCATCAGGACTGATGATGAGGAAGAGGTCAAAAGAAAGGTAAGGCAGAAGCAGTTGGCCTTGGTTCTCTTCTCGTGTTGTGTTGCAGCTACTGCTGTTTGTCAAGGTGACTAATCTAGACCTCCTGCAGCTTCCTCATCACAGATCCATACAGATAACTTGAGTTGGGTCCCTTCCTATCTGCTGTCCTCAGTCACAGTGTGTCCAAGAGCATCTCTGTGCTCCTGGGGACAAACTCACAGTTTGGAGTGGGTCAGGCCAGAACCTCAGAGCTGCTGCAGCTGAGAGCTCAGTGTCCTGGATTCATTCTCTTGAACAGAGGTGCAGTTAGGGGCACCAGGTCCTCTGTAAGCAGCAGAGAGAACATAGGTGGCTCTGTGTCCCTAAGGTTAATGTGGGATAAATCTGGGCCAGTCCTATTGGTTGCAACCTTAAGAGCTTGTTTTGACAGGGTCTTCTATCAATCTAGATTTTTTTTTAAGTAGTGAAATTTGGTAGTTCATTGTAATAAAACAATGAACTCCCATGTATTATTGGAAGGAGAATTTCCAGGTGACAGAAGAGGAACAGCATTAAGCCTGTGCAGGAGTGTCCATCCCAGGCCCTCCAGTCTCTCTGCTGGGAGCACCACTGGGAGCATTTAGTGGTGGGAGTAGGAAGTGCTCTCTTTGAGCACAGCCTGCAGCATTCAGCTGGGCATGTTTGGCTCAGCCCCATCATTGCAACGAAACCATAAGGGAGCATCACATCCAAAGCTGCTTTTTGAAGACAGAAGTGATTCTGTCAGAGCCAGGGTGTGCTGGGTGCCTGCTGGCTCGTTCCTCCTGGGCTGCAGAGTGAGGAGGGCTTGCTCTTGTCCTTCTGTTGCCTTCTTTTTCTCCTCAGCCCAGAGCATCTCAAGGGGGAAGAAGGTAGGAACTCAGATGGATTTGCTGGAAAGTGGAAAGAAGATCTCTTTTCCCACTCTGCATAGTTAGCAAGATATGTGAGAGCAATTTCAGAAAAAGAAAAGCCAAGAATCAGTTAATAGATGCTCTATGTCAGCCCGAGTTACAGCCACCAGTGACTGCTGTATATACCAGCTGGATTTGGTTCCCTGACTAGGGAATGCTCACAGTCTCCTCCTGAATCCCTTTCTTGTGCATCCTCTGCATCATTGTTCTTCAGGGGGGAAATGAAGGAGAAAAGGATCTATGGATGTTTTGTTCTTCCTTTTTGCTCCCTGAGCAACACAGCGAGATCAGTTGGGATCCTTTGGGTGTTTGGTATTAGGAGGTCAAAAACAGTTTTGCCTCTTGGATAACTCAGGAGAATTTGGAGATTTTCTTTTTTTCCTGAAATTTGAAATCTGTAGCTTACCCTGAAATCCTTCCCCTTTCTCACTGTTAGTTTGTCCAGCTCCATTGGGAAGATCTTACGGATTTTTTTTTTTAAGGGTATTTTTACTGTGGATTCTTAACCTGAGAATGAAACATAATAATTAGCACTAATCATTGTTATTTGGTCAAATTTGATTCAAATGGTTATCTAGCCTACAAAGGAGGCTTGCTTTTTGAATTCAAAGTATGTCCTTCTCCAGATGGGTAGAATAAGCTGAAAGAATCATCAGCATCCCAAAGCTGTAGAAATCACCTTGGCAGGAAAAAACAAAAAGGCCCTCAACCCCTAGAAAGTGCTTGTTCTCTTGGGTTTGCAAGGAAAGATTGTTTTCAGGGTGTCAGGGCTTAGGAACCTTCAAGCGTGAGTCACAGTAACCACAAGCAGGAGTCACTAGCTTGTAACGCTGTTGGCGATTGTTGTTTGCAGTTTTTCTCCTACAGAAAGCAGCTCCATAAAAGCAGCTGAAACATAATGTGTTTGCAATTTGCAGAGATTCCCAACTGAGAAAGCTTACTTCATTGCTAAAGAAGTAGCTACCACGGAGCGAACCTACCTGAAGGACCTCGAAGTCATCACGTCGGTATGTTTGCTTTGGCATTACTCACGAAGCACGTGGAGCTCTGGTCAGCAGGAGCGTTTCATCTGCTCCATTTAACCTCTTAGCTGTTCCATGCTACCTTTATGTTCTGCAGCGAAGGTATTCTGTGCAGTGCACCTGAGTACAGCTCTAGGGAGGAAATAACACAAAAAGCAGACAGTTGAGATTGGCGCTGTGGTTAGTAACTCGCACTATGAAACTGTATCAGGTTGAGGAACTTGGGACACGGTTCAGTTATTTTTTCTTGCTCTCCTATTTTGTGGTTGTAATTACTGAAAATGCCTGTGGGTTTTCAATGGCTTCTCTTAAAACTGAAGTAGCTCCCTAGGGGAACATATAAATGTTTTCTCCTGGATTAAGTGCCTTCCATTTAACATGAAATATTGTGGAGCACCTATCTGAATGATTCTCATTTTTCAGTGAGGGAAACTGTCTGTGAAACGAGTCATTAATCTGAGCATCTGATCAGAGTGTGATTGTTAACATCACCATGGCAAATACGTGCCTTCCTCGCACACACCCCAACAGTCTTGTTTAACTTCCAAGAGTAATGTGTGCAAGATTTGGGCTTAAATAACAATTGTCTGTAAAAGAACAAAAAATCCCAAACCCCTTGTAGTATTTCAGCAGAGCTGCCAGCTCCAGACCTCCCAGCTCTTTAATCCCCCAGTGTGTGAAGCTCTGTAAGGTGCATTGCCTCTTCCTGCATTGAGTGTTGTGCTAAGGAGGACATGCTGCAGGGAAGAGCCTGCTACTACCATCTGTGAACCAGGGAGAGACACCTTCTCTCCAGCTTCTTGTCTGTTCCAGGAGCCCACATGGCAGATGCTGTTGTTCTGATGCCAGCTTAGACATAGCCAGTGTAGGCTGGAGCACCATGGTTGTTACAGGCAGCAAGATAGCTTTGTGGGAAGCCAGGCTGACGAGGGAGGAGGTCAGGTTCCGTGGGATGGTGGTCCTAGCTGCAGTCTCAACAACAGATACTCATGTTTTTGTCTTCTGTTTTACCCAGTGGCTGCAGAAACAGGAAGTTTAACTCTTCAGAGCTAAACTTGATTTCCCATCCTGGCTTTTATTCTTGTGGTAGGCAAATTTGAATTTGCTGTGCCACCAAGAGGCATACAGCTGGCTCCGAGCTAATCAGCAGGCCCGTCAGCTGTACTCCACAGATCAATGGCCCAGAAGGCCACTGAGAGTGAACAAGTAGCCAGTGTCATTGAAAAAGGTAGAAGGAACAAGTGTCATGCATGAATTTTGAGACTTAGGTGTGCAGTTGTTCCACCTTAGTCTCTGCTCAATGCAGAGATAAAGCAGGGAGAGGGAGGCTTGGAAGGGATCTCTCTTTATCCGAAATCTGGGTCAGCTGCAGCTGATGCAGTGTCAATCAGGAGTACTGCAACTGCCTTCTGTGATCCAAACAGCCTTCTAGGCACTGCTAGAAGCCAACCATAGATACCTGGAGCCCCTCAGGGCAGTGAGGAAGGAGTAGAATTACTATGTTGAAGGTAATAGTCTGTGCCACCTTGGCTAGCCCTCTTGTCCTGTGTCTTTCATCACCTGTAGGTCTGTTAGGGTGAAATAAAGAGATTGTGGAGCAAAACTGAGAAGGAGCCTGTTGCAATCTTAAAAGTGTTTGTCACTGGCCCTCCTATTTTCTGCTAATAGAGTCTTGTCTTGGAAGTGCAAAGTGCTACCCTGCTACTTGTTCACTTTGCAAAGTGCATGATGTTCTCTATCTGCTTGCAGCAACGTGGGCTGGAGTGCTTACTGTACCAAGTCCTGTCAAGGGGATTTCAAACAGAACTCGGCCAAAGAAAATGCAGAGCATGTTGTTTGTTTGTTTGTTTTCTGGGATGTTTGCAAGTGTTGCAATACTCTTTCTCTTGCATCTGCAGCATTTGCAAATTCAGTTTGTATTGACCAACCAGTTTGGGCTTTAAAAGAGTTGTCAAGATTTGATCGGTGGTAGCAAAGGGGAAGGGAGTTTCTTTTCCAAGTGTGGAGGGCTGAGCACTGATAAGAGCACTGATTCAACACATGGGAGTGTCAGGGGTAGCATGGGTTGTTTGTATTCCTAGTGCCAGCTAAATAAGGTCCTTACTAGATTAGGTGTATTTGATTAGGTGTATAAAGACAGCAAATGATCATACCTGCTGCATTCAACCCCCCAGTAATTTTTCTTCCTTTTTTCTTTGTAGTGGTTTCAGAATGCAGTGAGTAAAGAGGATTGCATGCCCGAGACACTGAAGAATCTCATTTTCTCCAACTTTGAACCTTTGCACAAATTTCACACTGGTTTTCTCAAGGAAACTGAGCAGAGACTTGCTCTGTGGTAAGATTGTTGTTTGTTCTTCACCTGTGTTATTTAATGCAGTTTAGCATTTTTTGCATTCCCTTTTTGTTCACTCTTTGTGATCTACTGCAGTGATTCACTTGTAAAAGTCATAGATGTTGGTTATTTACAGGCTGGGGATATTGAATCATGCTTTGTTCATGTTTACTTGACAAACTCTGTTGTTCAGATATCTCAGTCAGGTACAGACATATGCAAATGAGATCATAATTCTGGATGAAGCTTTCTCTTGCCAAATGTCAGTGTTTCTATATGGCAGCTCTTCTGAAAAATCGTGTTGCAAGCAAGGCTTCTGTCAAATAGGTGTTGACTGGGAGGGATTCCAAGGACCAGCTTCCCATCCTGCAGCACTGCAGCTTTGACACTCCCAGGGTCTGTAGTGCACTCTACAAATTGACAGTGCTGGAAGAGGACACCAGGCTTAAAAATTCTCTGTCCTTAGCACAATAGTGGCAACAATACATGGTATTCTTGTGAAATAGCTATGAAGTGAGTAATCCTTCGCCTGTGGGACTCTTCACTCAGTTTGTTGACTGCTGGTGCTTGAGCAGAGGCAGCACACAGAAGCCCTGTCCTTGCTCTGATTAGACCTGTCTGCACTAGATTGTCTTGCTCTCCGTAGGCATTTTTTGGAAGTTTATCTTCAGTGCTGGGAGCTGAGCTTGTCCTCCTTGGTTAGAAAAGTAACAGTGGAAAATCATGTGAAAGCAGAGCAAGCAGAGCAAGCAGACCTATAAATTCCTAATCAACTAACTAATCAAAACAGAATCTTAGAGTGTGTGAGTGTAGCTCTTGTGAGGTGATGAGAGAGGTGACTGAATGAGAGCACAGCACATGGCAGACTGGTGCTATCCAAGCCCACCCTGCCCAGTTCTGGAATTAGCAGGTATTTTCTGGGAAGAGGGGAACGTGATACTGCCTCTTAGAGCTCACGTCCTCACCCAGGACTCTGTGGCTGATGCTTGACATCAGATTACTCTTAAGGTATGTGCTGCACAGCAACTCTGCCTGTATGTCCCTTTTTAGATTGGGCTGCTACTGTTTTAATCCAGTCAGGATTCTTAGTGGTGGTAATTGCTTTCCCAGTAAGGAACATTTATTGCAGGTATTCCAAGAAGGCTCTTTCAAATGTTACAAAATAGTCATTGTTTCTCCAGCTGTGGAGTAGGATTGACAGTTTTGGGGTTAAGAGTGCGTGGTGAGAAAAGAGAAATCTATACGGTTAGTAAAGGGCCAAGTTCTGCTCTCTGTCAGACCAGTGTAATCTAGTGAGCTTGCTGGGTGCTGGTTCCTAGGGCACATGTTGAAATAGTTTCCCCTTATATCCTTCGGCTGCTGGTGGCATTACAGGTGGATACCAACCTCCTGTTCTGGTGTAATGTTTTTAAAAAATGGCTGATGCTGCTGCGGAAAGGCATTGTAGTAAGTGTGGAGAAGTATGTTACAAGAAAGAATATTTAGACTTTTAGAGCTTCCATGGTTTTATTTAGTTTCTCCTTTTCAGTTAGCTTTTCTTAGAGCTGAGTAGTACTTTTGTTTTCCAGCTTTTCCTTGTGTCCTAAGGCGATGGATTCACAGAGCAGTAAAGCTCTCTCTAAGGCTCCTGATACGATATTTAAACTGCAGTTACCCTAGGATATAAAGTGCTGATCTGCTGTGAAGTTACTTTGCAATCCAAATTTGTTCAAAAATATTCTGCTGAGGTAACTTTGTCACAGCTGGGCACCTTATTCTGACTTTGTCAGCTCAGCTATTGCCTGTCCTTCCACAGTTAGCATAAAGCCACTGGGAGTTTCTGGTGGCTACTCTGATTCACTTGACAGAAAAGCAGTCACGTTCCTGCCATGCTCTGCATCCAGTTTGCAACCAACAGCATGGGCTTACCTAAAGTAATACCACTGTTGTAGAAGGTGTTTGTTTTCAAAGTTCTGGAAGATTTGAATGCTTGCCTTAGGAGAGGAGGTGGATTTGCTGGCAGGTGTTATCTTGGAGGTGTTGGTGTTTTTATATAATGCCACAGATGCTGAGATAAGCTGCAAGCAATAAACTCTATCCTGTAGAGATTACTGCTTAATTAAACAGCGAGTGACAAAAATCAACAGCCCCTCAGCATGCAGAAGAAGCAGCTGATGGCATTGTGGTAGGGAATTTCTTCATCAGTGTGGTCAAGGTCACGTAGCTCAACGTCCGTACGGCCATGATTGCCCCCTGGTCTGGCCTCGGGTGGCTCTAGGCCGGCGGGTCCGGGTGCGTTCACCACGGCGGTGCAGAGCCCTGCGAGGCTCCTCACGGGGCTGCCCGGGCTGGGGCACTGCTGCAGGCAGCTGGGGGCAGGGTTCAAACCAGCTCAGTTAACCCTGACCCTCCTGTGTCACCTCTTATGAGTTTCCGGGCAGGTGGAGCGGGGAGGACGCTTGTCCTGAGGCATGAGCGTGCTCTGTGTTTGTCAGAGTGGCGTGTCCTACGCAAAAAGGGCCTTTGAGTGAAAGGGTTGTGAGCTTCATGGAGCTACTGGAAGCCCCAGGTGTGTTGTGGGAGCTTGTCTGAGAGGAAGAGCTGCCCACAACCAGTCACCCGTGTTCCCTTAGTAAACAGGATGCTGGATTTTATCAACCTGAGCTGCAGTTCAGCCTGATCACTCTGCCTAGACATCACTCTGGGTAAGGTTTGTTTCAAACCTTCATGCTCCATGTTGGACACTCTTACAGGAGGCCATTCCCTGGTCTCTTAGGACTCATGTTGAAGCTGATGCTCTGCAAAAGAGCTGTGAGGAGAGCAAGGCCAGGAGAGGATTGCGTGCAGCGTTTGTTAGATGGCTCTGCACTTTTAATTTGTTAAAACATCTATAGACATTTAGCATTTGACTCAAAGAAGCTCAGGTTCTGCACATCAGTAAAAGCTTTTCTGGCTTGCTCAAAGGCTTCTGAACTGTTCAAATGTGCCATCAAAGCCAGGCTGTTTGCTCCCAAACATCTTGGGACCTGCTATCCTTTTGGCCCAGCTATAGATTCTGGCAGGTCTGATTTGTTTTTTTTATAAATTCAAGAGTCACCGTGTTCCTGCGACCAAGTGAAAATCCCCCACCAGAGGCCCTGTGGCCTGAGAAGAGGTAGGATGACCTTTGGTGGATGCAGGGAATGGTGCTTTGTCAGGCTGTCCTCTTGGCGAGTGCCAGGAGGCTTGTGTCCAGCACCCAGCATCCAGGTCCTGGTCCTAGCTACCGAGACTCATCCAGGCTGCTCCTCAGCAAGGCTTCGGGTGCAGGGCCAGGAGTTCCCAACCTTTTTTGCCAGGAGGAAATATGGAAGGCATTTATCAGTGACTTAAGGCTGGCTCCTCTTTCCCAGGGCCTGAGAGATTTTGTGGCAAGGAGGAAGAGGTGTAGGCAGTGCACAGAGAGCATGGCATGCTCTGTTAGCATCTGAACAGTTGAATTTGAGAAATCAGTTAGGTTTTATTCCTCCATTTATCTAAGCTGTTTAATAGACTATTAATTTGGGCCACAGACAGTTGTTTTTTTTTTTTCTAGCAAAAAAAAATTGAGCTTATCTTCCCACACCCCTTTAAATGTTTGTATAACAGGTTTCCATACTGGTTTCTGTAAATTCTGACAGAAGGTGGAAAATTTGGAGCCGTAAGTTTCCCCACCTTGGTCAACCCTAAGCACTGCAGAGAGCAATGCTAGGGCAAGCCAGGATAACCATTTCTGCCCTAAGAAGCCCTGTCAGTATGAATCTGTGCTTTGGCCCTTATCCAGGTGCTAGGAAGAAGAACCATTATGTACTTTCCCGAAATGCAGGCAGACTCATCTTCTCCCAGGGAAGTTTGACTCCCTTCTGAGAGAAGCTGCTATTCAGTAACTACCAGATGTGGCTGAGAAATGTGCGGCTGGTAATTTGAAAAAAAAAAAAAGGCTCTTAGATCTTAGCATATGAAAGGAGGAGAAGGATCAATCAGAATTCATGGAAGACAGTTTGAAAACCTGTAATGAAAAGCACTCAGGGAGGTGTAGGAAGATGTTGATTTATTAACTGTTTTTTGTTTGGGAAGTAGTACTTGTGGCCAGGAAGAACAGCCTAATAAAAAGTTTACATAAACAAGGCAGCAATCCTTATCTCCCTCCTCAAATGCTTGGATGCTCACTATTCAGCTGGTTCTTGCCTAGTGAAGAAGGATGAGGAGGACACTTTGGAAAGTGTCTTTATTCCATGTACAGAAATGAAGTATGGTAGTGTAAGCCTCAGAATCACTCAGTGTGGATTCCTGAGAAAAAGACATTCAGAGGGGCTTGGTGCCAGTGCATTGCGCTCCCTTTTGAGAGGACAGGTTGCATTGATGAAGTCATTTTTGGGTACTTCTGGGGATTATAACTCTGCGACACCCAAATGAATTTGAAATGGTGGGAGAGAAGTAGCTTGTCCAGGATCCATCAGTCCCACCTAGAGCCACGTTACATTCAAATGGGTCTTCTGTGGGAGACTGTTTTGCCAATGACCAGGCCCAACAAGAATGATACTGCCAGCAGGAAGATGAACCAATACACAGACTGTATTGTAGACAAGAAGGACATTCCATGAATGATTGCTGGGGGTACAAACAGATCAATCAGCTGGTACATAATTGATGCCACCCCCAACGATCTCACAAAGGACGTGACTCGGCCCACAACAGGTGGCACAAACAGAGACCCAAGGTTGCCCACAGTTGGCATGGAAAACAGCCAGACCAGAGAGCTAAACATATAAGAGAAAGGTGACCACATGGTGACTATCACCCGATCAGCCCGCATTCACAAAGGTCTTGAGCAGACTGGGGCCCAGCTCCAGGGAGAGTCAGGAGGTCTGCCCTGAACCAGGAAGCTCTGTGGAGTGCACTCCACAGACAGACACTCCTGACTCCCTGCAAGTGGTCCCAGCTTTTATCCCCAAGCAGACCCCTGACCTTTGTCAACTCACTGTGGGACCCCAGGGGCTCATTTC